TGACATTTGGAGCCCGTACTACCCGCACGTGGTCATGCTGCCCTCTGGGTTGGTGCAAGTGCACCCTGGTCCTGACTCGGATGTTCAAAACGCGACCGAAATGTGGTGCGGATACAATCGGTTCCCTCTCAGACTCCCTAAGCAGACCAGCTCACGAGACTTCCGCGAACCAAGGATACTGCCACCCACGTGGGAAAAGTCACGCAGCGGTTCACCTTTCTTACCTCCGTATCCAGTTGCAGTCCTTGGACGTGACACCACGGAAGACAAGCGCCAAGCTGCACCAAGACCTCCTCTCCAACACCTTGACGAGCGATTCCAAACGCCAGAGATCAATGTTTCACGCAGTCGAGCCGCCATCCAAAACGGCGAGCCCGGACGAGTTCGAGGCTCGATGGATTGGCCAGTACTTAGCCCGACTATGACGGCCACCACAGCTCCCGATCGCAAGCAATCAGGTGCGTACAGTTTGCTTCATGTCTTCTACCGAAACGTGTTAACCTGCATCTTGTATGCTGCAGTTTATTCGAAGGGATTCCCGGCGCCGAACACGGAGAAGAAGGAGCACAACCGCAAAGGATATCTCCTTCGCCAGGCGCGCAAGATGATGCGAGACGGCGGCTCTAATTCAACGACAACACCTCCAGACTCGGACACATCTGCATCAACCAAGCAGCGCAAGGTGCAGGAAATGACAGCTAAGGCGAGACACGACCTCTCCAGCCGCGACAAGCTAGATCCTTTGACCGACAACGGGGACTTTGATACCATTACTCCGCTTCACTGCTGATCAGATGACACGTCGGTTTCCACAGTACACGTGAGAAGGAATCTATTTACTCGAGAGAAGACCCACACTATCGCCGTGGACGCAGAGCAGGAGCATCTCACTAATACGACAGAAACGTTAACTTTTGAATTGAAGTGGTGGCTGCGTACTTAAAGCGTACTTAGCCTCATTTTGGCGGTAGTAGAATGTTGCGAAGCGCTCTGGTGTTGCGGTGCTGCGGCACTCGGTACAGGTGCGCTGTCGGCTTCTTTGGGTGCCTGGTCAATGACGTTATTGCTTATGTGGTTGTGTTTATGACTTAGCGCTTGCCGACTTACGCAGACACGAACGAAGATTACAATTCCGGCCGCTGGAGGCGGACGTCGTCGCCGACTCAAACCAAAACTGCCCAAGGACAAGTGAGTGTGGCAATAACAAGACAACTATGGAGGAAGAGCTCTGACTGTGGGAATGGCTGAGCAGGTTTGCACTACTTTCGGCGGAGTTTTTGGACCGCGTGCAGACTGCAAT